TTGTGGCTTGTTTTTCTGGTGGGACTGCCATTATCTGCCACAATGAAGTGGCACATGCCCCTCTCCCTCCCCTCCTGCAAGATTTAAAGGGCCCTTCAGCTGATCAGCCGGGGGCAGGTGGCCCACCGATCAGCTGAAGGGCCCTTTAAATCTTGCAGGAGGGAGGGTCCCTTTAAATGCTTTTGGGAAGAAGCGAGGAGGGCTTTACGAAGTGGGAGCCCTTTAAGGAAGGGATGGAGCCCCCAATAGCCCCAACTATAGCTACCGCCCAGTGTCTCCTTACTTCTTTTCCTTTTCGTAACTCACGCACCCGAGTCCCAGTTGTAACATTTCCTTATGTGGATGTGAACAGGGCACTCGTAGCCCCCTTGGCATTTCAACAGCCAGCAGCCTTCTGGGACAGGGTAGACAATCCAGACCTGATCTATGTCTCCTGAGTACTGCAAAGTCCACCAGATGAAGGCTGGGCGAAGGAAGGAAAGCCCCTGAATTTGGTAGAATGAGATGTTAGTGTGAGACCCCCATGCTCCCTCTAAGCTGCGGAGTCTTGTGAGCAAGAATTCTACTTCGTGAGCTTGTGAGCTGCTGGCATTTAAGTTGTGAGTGAGCGATTCGGCTGCTGCCTAAATTAATTTGCCGTGGAGCCATCCTTCCTGAGCTAAGACAAAAATGTGTGAGCCGGAGGCTAAAAAACTGTGAGCTGGCTCACACTGACTCAGCTTAGCGGGAACACTGGCACCTCAGCACTTTACCTGATGTGTCCCCCGTCTGAACTTCCAGACATTACACCATTCTTCAGCCATGTCAGGTTTCTTCTTTGGCTGGCCTGGCTGGCCTCCCTTCCTTTCTTACGTATTCCTTCCCTCGCTTCTCCGCTCCCTGGAAGAGAAAGCTGACCTATTGCAGGTTCAGTTGTGCCAAATAACCTCACACACACAGAACACAACACAACACAATGTGTTCTCCTGACCTAAAAACACACTTAGTTGTTAGTAAACTTTTTTTTTTAATCCCCGCTAGCGAACTCTTGACCAAAGGAAGGAGGCGTACTGCCGGAAGAACGAACTGGAGTCCTCCGCCCGCTGCAAGGCTCTGTTGACACGGTTCTCTGAGGAACTGGAGGGCAGGATCAACGAGGCCTTCTACTCCCGACCTGGTGGCTATCAGGATTATTTCAATGACTTGAAGGCCATCACAGTGAAATACCACGAGGAGTCTGGGAAAGGAGTCATGGTGAGGGAAAACGGGCTACAAACCAGAACGCTGAAATTGAGGGACACTTGCCAAATCAGATCAATGAAATGCAGAAGAGGGCCTGACCGGGGTAGCCCGGGCAAGCCGGATCTCGTCAGAGGGTTCCCTGTGAATGCATAATAAATTACAATTAAAGCATTAACAATAATCTGAAGAGGTGAAGCATCACAACCATTTCCATCAGTCTGGTTGGAACCTAACTGCCCTGGGGCTCCTCTTCTCCTGGAGCTATCTCCTTTAGTGAGGTTATTGTTATATTTTAAATATATTGATTTATTTATTAAATTTCTAACCCGCCCTCCCGCCGAAGCGGCTCAGGGTGGCTTACATAGAGTCTTAAAACCAACATACAATTTAAAACCAGCAAGAACAACATAAAATATAATTCCATAAAAATTCCATAAATGCAGTAATCTATTTAAATACGATGGCATGATATCATAAAGTGCAAGGGCTACTCGACCGATTAAATCAATTTATTACTGGAACGCCCGGCGGAACAGCTCCGTTTTCACGGCTCTGCGGAATTGCTGGAGGTCCCACAGAGCTCTGATCTCAGCAGGGAGATTGTTCCACAGCGTTGGCACCACCAGGGTTTGCCAGGGGTCCTCCGTTTTGGGGTGTGTGTTGGGGGCCCCACCCCCAACACCCCCAGCCACCCATCTCTCTCCCTTTAAGGGTGTGCAACCCATGTTTCAGCCCAAGCGCAAACTCCGCAAGCTTGCAGGGAAAAACTAGCTTCATTCTTAAAAGGGAAACGCAGCTTCTCTTAAAGGGGAAACGCCGGCTGCCGGCTACTTTAAGTGCAGGGAACTGCTGTTTCTGGAGATCCGGCGCACGGCCGGGTGGGGTGGGCGGCAGACGTCCCCAACATGACGTCATCACGTTGGGGATGCCCCACCCTATCCGGGAACGCCCCCAAAGTCCCCCGCTGGGGGTGGAAGATGGACTTGGCAACCCTAAGGGAAAATGCCCTGGTCCTAGTTACCGCCAACCTGGCGTCCCTAGGCCCAGGGGGGCCCAGGCGGTTTTGAGTCCCAGATCGCAGGGGACCGCCTTTCCCCGTATGGGGACATACGGAGAAAGGCGGTCCCTTAGGGGTCACCACCAGGAGTCACCGTGACCTCCAGGCACGCAAGCACATACAGACAAAATACCAAAATTAAAAAAAATGAAATGCAAAAGAATTAAGGGATACAAACAACTTTCTCGTGAGATATGGAACAGGGGTTCAGCAAATGCTGAATTACAAACATATTGGGGGGACGGACCCTTTTAATTACAAATTTTAGTGATGAATTGTAAGTCTGTCTGGTTGGACATAAGGAGAAGCAGCTAAAATGTCAACATCAAGGACTGCACAAGAGATGGATGGTTGGGACTGAATCCTGAGCGGCTGCACTATTTTAGAAATTCTGGGTCCGCAGGGGGCTGACCCACTGGCCCTGAGGGAGCATCCGATAAAAGGCACGCAGCTCACACAGCCTCCGCTTCCTGGCTGGCCGAGGTTCTTGAGCAAACGAGGCTGGAACAGGGACCGAGGAAGCAGTTCTGTCTCCCCGTGACGTTCCTGTGCTACTCTTAGATCCAAAACGAACACAGTAGATATCGGTGTCTACTGGAGGCTAAAATTAGATCAGACCGGCGGTGTCATCCTTGTCTCCTGGCTGCTTTAGTATGTGTGTGAGGAGGTTAAGTACACACACACCCCTTTCTTGGCATCCCCCTTCTGATCTGGTCTGTAGGGCCTCAGCAGCTGCTTGAAAGCAAGATTCAAAATGTCAGGAGAGCCAGTGCTTTTGAACTCGACATAGAGAATGCATTTCCGTGTCTTCCACTTAGAAGGGAAAAAACCAGCTTTGAAACCACCTCTTCTTGACATACCCAGGGTATTTTTACATCCAACATGAGCCAAGTATTGTTTTTTTAAGTCTTCCTTTAATTCAGACAACAGAACCATTTGTATAAATAAGGGTCACTTAGAAAGGAATTCAGGATTACCATATAACATTACGACACTGGAGAAAAATACAGAGTTGTACAGTGTCAAGATACTTATTCTAAAATATTACAAACATTACCCATTTTAATACATTTATTACTCCGTGAAGAAATACTACTTCTGTACTGTGTTAATTTTGACAACTATGCAGTTTCTCAGTTTTAAGAAAAACCCATAAATTAGTGGGACAAAGTTTGAGTCCAGTGGCACCTTTAAGACAAAGAAGGAGAAAGATTTGGTTTTATTTCCCACCCTTCACTAACCAAAGGAGTCTCAGATCAACTTACAATCACCTTCCCTTCCTCTCCCCACAACAGACACTCTGTGAGGTGGGTGGGACCGAGAGAGCTCTGAGAGAACTGTGACTGACCCATAAGGTCACCTAGCTGGCTGCATGTGGAGGAATGGGGAATCAAACCCGGTTCTCCCAGATCAGAGTCCGCCGCTATTAACCACTACACCAAACTGGCTCCCAACAAAGTTTTAACTACTGGACTCAAACTTTGTTCCGTTGCTTCAGACCAACACGGCTACCCACCTGAATCCATAATTTAGTATACAAGATGGGTTCACTTTCCCCCCCAGTAAAAAAAAAAAAGATAAGTATGTAAGGTCCTATAACTGTGCTCTTTATAACCTATGTCTGTGCATAGACCCTGTTGACTGTTGCTTCTCCACCACCCAGGCAGACGTCGTCCTGCAGCAGTTCTTCAAGGACAAGGAGGATGTGGGTAGAGCCATCCTCCAGAGCGATGAAGCCCTCACGGAGAAAGAGAAGGAAGCCGAAGGTGAGGGGCTGGAGAGGCTGTATTAGGGTTCCCATCCCCCTGATGAGGGTGGGGAATTCCCCCAATTTCGGGCCCCCTGATCTGCCTGCCGAGGGAGCCCCACCCCTGAAGAGCTCTGTGGCTCTGCCACGCACGGTGCAATAACATCACTTTTGGGTGATGTCACTGCGGCAGGCACGTCGCAGGGGATGCTCTGGTGTTCGCCCAAAAACTCTATGGTGACCATGGAGTTTTTGGCAGGATGCTAGAGTGCCCCCCCCATGACATGCCTAGCATGATGACACCCCTTCTGGGTGATGTCATCATGGCACACGCAAGAAGATCCAGGAACGGAGCCTGGAGCCCCCCACTGGGAAAAGGTAGGGGCCTGGCAACCTTAGGTTGTATGCAGATGCAATGGATGTTGATGAAGCTGCATTGGAGGTGTTGCTTTCAGGGCAGGAATGGCCCAAGGCCCTCTCCATCATTCAGGAGGAACTCAACATTCAAGTCCCATTAATCAGGATGAGAGAGCAGCTACCACATGGGACATTCCCCAACCAAGGAATTCCCTTGCTAGAAAGATCACGAGGTCAAAATGCCAGTTTTAAGGAGAAAGCCCCAGACTGTGTAAATAGCCAGAGAAGATCAAGGCCAGCCTCCGGGAAGTGCCATTTGGAATGTGACTCTGGGTGAGTCTGCATCTGACATTCGCTCCACATTTTCTCAACACTGAGGAAAAGGTGCAGCTTAAAACCACCCGGGGCAACACCGTACTGACCGTGAAGTCACCCCTGAACGGCCATAAATCTGTGCAGATGGTACCATAAAACCCAATGATAAAAGAAAGCGAAAGCAGCATGGAGTGTAGAGGGTACCATAAAACCCGATAATCAGAGAAAGTGAAAGCAGCAGGCAATATAGAGGGGAATTTCTGTTCCAACGTGGGTTTGCTAAAGCAACAGAGGGAAAAGCCTCGAAGTCACGAGTGTACCATAAGATCTGATAATCAAAGAAAGTGAATGCAGTTTGCAGTGTAGAGGGTACCATAAAACCCGATAATCAGAGAAAGTGAAAGCAGCAGGCAACGCAGAGGGGAATTTCTGTTCCAACGTGGGTTTGCTAAAACAACAGAGGGAAGAACGGATGCAGAATCGCCCTCTGTGTGATTCCTGGAAAAGATTCATTCTTCTTTCCTTTCTGGTGGCCCAGATGCCAGGACAAGGGCTGAGGCAGCGGAGCGGGAGAATGAGATCCAGAGGCAGAAGCAGGCTGAGTTGGAGGAGAAGCTGGAGGACCAGAGGCGAAGTCACGAAGCCAACATGGAGCACCTGAAGGAGAAGATGGAGAGAGACAGGGAGCTGCTGCTGGAGGAGCAGAACAGGGTGATGGAGGCTAAACTCCGGGTGAGTGGCATGTGTGGTTTTGTCCCCGTTTGCCAAAAATTCCAGGGAGGGGGTTGCCTCTGATGTCTAACTATCCAAGTGGGTCATAGTCCGGGAAGCTGGTAGGGGTAGCAGCCCCTCCTGTTTGCAAACCCGGATCCCTTTTCTGGTTGGTGACTCCTGACCACATGAATCTTTGTGTGCAAGCAGAGCTCTGTGTCTTCCTAGGGACTTTTGGTTTGGAAAACCAGGGGAGCAATTACCATTCTGTGAATATGTTCCCTTTTTTGGGGGGGTAAACATTTTATTTTTAGGATATATTCAACAAAGTCCAACATTGGTATTACATTTCTTATCCCTTTATATCCTACCGTCCTCCCTTCCCCCCCCCCCCCCTCCAGGGCTTCCCACAGCACAGTGCTACAACCTCCTGCATAATTCTTAGGTTACTCTTAGGTACTCCTCTTTATCTCTACATGTTCAATAGGTAACTTGTTTTTTCACAATTTTCTATACTCAATAGTTATCAAAGCAAAATAAATTGTCTTTCACATCCCAATATTTTTCCAAGTATTCTTTTAAGTCTTTCCAGTCTTCAAAAAAGTCTTCTGCTACCATATTCTGTGAATATGTTCCTTGAGCAGAGGATAATGTTCATTCCCCGGTCTCCTTCTACCAGGTCACTAGCCAATGACAGTCGTTGAGGAAGAAGAAGAAGAGATTGGATTTATACCCTGCCCTTCACTACCCAAAGAATCTCAGAGCAGCTTACAATTTCCTTCCCCTTCCCCTCATGTGAGGTAGGTGGGGCTGAGAGAGCTCTGAGAGAACTGCCCTTGAGAGAACAGCTCTGAGAGAACTTGTGACTGACCCCAAGGTCACACCAGGAGCTGCATGCGGAGGAGTGGGGAATCAAACCCGGATCTCCCAGATTAGAGTCTGCATGCCTAACCACTACACCAAACTGGAGGACAAAACAACAGATAATAGGCTAGCCTGGCTGTCCCATTGGAGTTGTTGGGGAGACCTGAGAGCCAGTTTGGCGTAGTGGTTAGAAGCCAGTTTGGTGTAGTGGTTAGAAGTACGGATGCTAGTCTCTTAGAATCAATTATGAGTCCCCACTCTTCCACACGAAGCTGCTGGTGTGACCTTGGGTCAGTCACAAGTTCTCTCAGAGCTGTTCTGTCAAGAGCAGTCCTCGAAGGAGCTCTCTCAGCCCCAACTACCTCACAGGATGTCTGTTGTGGGGAGGGGAAGGGGAAGGAGATTGTAAGTGGCTCTGAGACTCCTTTGGGTAGCGAAAGGCAGTATAAATCCAATATCCTCTTCTTCTCTAACCAGCATTTCCAGGCTGTTAGTATAACAGAAACGCTGCTGACTCTGTGTCTTCCAGAGGGGTTGGTGAATAAGACCCAAGGTCATCTTTGTAATGTAGTTCCCTTGGTAAGCTTGGTAAGCAACTAGTGCAGAATGCTGCAGCCAGGCTATTGATGGATCTTCCTAGACGGGATCACATCCAACCTGTGCTGAAAGCGCTGCACTGGTTGCCAATAGCTTACCGGGTTCGCTTCAAAGTGCTGGTCGTTACCTTTAAAGCCCTATATGGCCAGGGACCAGCCTACCTAAGGGACCGCCTTGCCCCACATGTTCCCCCAAGGGCACTACGGTCGGGGAACCAACATCTACTGGATGTTCCAGGCCCCCGTTCTATTAGACTCAGCATGACCAGGAATAGGGCGTGCTCGGTGGCGGCTCCTATCTGGTGGAATGAGCTCCCAGAGGAGATCAGGGCTCTGCGGGACCTAGCACAGTTCCGCAGGGCCTGCAAGACAGAGCTCTTCCGCCAGGCTTTCGAATAGGAGCCGCCACCACTAGTGCACCACCAACGCACTAGTTACCATCAACGCCCCATATATGAACATCAGGAGGGGGCATGTTCCATCAATGCTCCATAATCGCTGCACTATGGGCGAGAACGGGAGGTGTTGGGGGTGGCCATCTTGCCTCTAGAAATTGTAATTTGGAAATTGGAAACTGACTGAGAGGAGCACCAAAATTGGCTTAATGTGATGTATTTTAC